TTACTAAATCAGCTAGAATATTCGGTTTACCATCCTGACACATAACGACGGTGACATCGAAGCGTACCAGAATGTTACTGCTATCTAATGATCATTTCGACAGGAGTTGAATAAAATATTTGGAATTGAGAACATGTGAAGAGGTTTTGCTCGCATAATCCTTTGGTACGTTTGCCAGAAATTTAGAAGTAGCATACGTGGAGCAATCAATGGTGCTGGCGATCGGTCTCTTTGTGAATTTTTGGAAGACCATATTAGACGAGATAGTTTGAAATTTTTTGAAATGAGTTGTTTGGAGGCATTCTCGAGAAGATTTCCGACTTTTAATAATACAGAGAGTTCCCGTTTAATTTTATAACTAGGGTTACGTGAAGTTGGGGCATCGGAACCGTCCTCTATAAGATTATTGATTTTGTTAACGTATTCAGGCATGTTCAACTTAACAGTCGCGTTCCCTTTGTCTGCTGACAGAAACGTGATGTTAGAATTGGATTTGAGATCTTGAAGAGCAGGTTTCTCGTCTTTACATAGATTGAATTTTAGAATTTTGGTCTTGCTGAAAATTTTGGCTTTTTCGAACCGGACCCGTGGATTGCTTAGGAAAGAATCAACTACAAGATTCAACAGCACTGATTATTTCATCACTGGGCATTTTACCCTAAATTAATTTAGCCTATTTATTTTATGGATCAAATCAAGACCTGCAAAATCGAATGCTTTGAAATCTTGCAGACGTTTTAAAGTTATCTTGCAAGCCTGGTAAATTTTTAGTCAAAATGTATCTGTCTAACCACCCTACCCTCTTTTTATCATTGGATAAAATAAATTTAATCACTTTCTAAATTTTTATTGATTAAATAAGAACGAGTTACTTGATCTTCTCGAAAATGTGAGAATACGTACGTCTTTATTTAATGATTAAATACTTTGATTGTGGCTTAACTAATAATTTTAATCGTCTATTTTGAGGCGATAAACTCATTCAAATCAAACTAGTTTCTACATGTCATTCATCCGATGTATAAACATAAACACTTCAAGTTGCTATTATTGTTGAGCGGCCACTTTTACTTATTGAGCTTAAACTAAGGAAATACAGCAATGGAGACAATCGGCTCACTTGATATTTTTATATTTAGTCGACGTTTCATGACCTCTAGACAGGGCCGTAGCTATGAGGAGGCCTACACCTAAACAATTTACAATAGGAATGTGAATTAAAATATGAAAAATCAAAATAAAATACAATGTTTTATTTAATATTCGGAAATCATTAATTCATCGTTTATCTTAATTTCTCTGTTTCATTTTCACGTGTACAGTCTCGACAAGCGTATATAACTCTTCTTTACCTTTACTTGAACATTACAAACACATTTTTATTTTAACTCAGATGGGTTATCATAAAAAATAAAATTCGCAAAATCAAATCTTCTAATTTTTCGGAACAGCTGGATTTGATGTACTATACTTTATGGACAAGGGAACTTCTGCGGAAATAATCTTCGACCAATTTTTTTAAGCGTAAATTCGACCATGTGACAAAATAAAATTCCATCTTCATCTCACAGTAAATTAAATAAGCCAATAAATACAAAAGTGCAGGTGTGTGAGATTGCATTCCACTGTTTATCAATATAAAATCCACTTTTCGTCCAATAAAATGACTGATCAAAAAGGAAATTAGGTGAGTGGGTGGGCTAAGCCAGTTTGCAAGAGAATTTTGTTCTGCACATTTTCTATGCATAAAATGTTTCTTACGTGCCAAAATAAAAGTATTTTGATTTTTTTAATCTCAAAAACCTGGGGTGTTAAGGAAACTTCCAAGGTCACCATCGTGTTCAAAAGACTTAATTACGTAAGACTATTGTTACGGGACCGGCTTCTGGACATGGTGAACCTCCCCACGACGACGTGCTCCGTCTTGAAAAAGACGAGCGCTCGAAGGTTGCGAAATCTTTTATGGCTCGGGAAGGTGGTGAATAAAACAAGGCAAATCTGTTAAACGAGTTACGGGGGCCCCTGGAGTGGATTCCTTAGGTCGCCGGCCGGCCGCACCAGCGCCGGAGAGTTCTTCCTCCAGGTCCCCGAAGTGGTTGGATGGCTTCTTCTTGCTCTAGTCCTCGCTGCCGACTGCCACGAATCTCCCGAACCGCGCCGCTTTTATAGACTCGCATCGGCTCCGCCCACTAGTTCGGCACGAATCCAGGATTCTCATTGACTGCAGCGCTTTCGTAGTTTTGATCCGGTAACACTATCTACCTTTTGGCGACCATACAAGAGCCTGTCGGCCACTACTGTTATTATCATACAATTGTCGGTGTTGCCGGGACAATAACCCATCACCAACTACATGCAAAAAATGCAATTGGTATTTCTAGTTGTAGTATATTTTATAATCTAGTGCTCCACTTACACAATTTCAATATCATCATTTCTTTCAGACGACAAACACGTACCATACCGACGAGACACGCCGTATAAATCCACCACCGCGTGCGCTAATTTTATCAATGTTAATTTTTGTAACAAAAACAAAGGGCCCAAATTAAACGTTCCAAAAGATAATTCCATTCAATTTCTGCTCACGATGGAATGAAAATGCTGCTAATTATCTGCTTTTGCTAAATTTTGTATTGTTTTTCTTTTATTAAAATTGTTGACGAGAAATTACTCATGAATATTAATTTTATGCGCAGATGTGGATGATATTTTTTATTTTATTCAATTAAAGCATTCGTTCGCAGCAATTGTGAACCTGGAATGTGCTGGTCGTCACAAAAATTCATTGTTGTTCGAATATTTGATCGCTCCATTTTATTGTTTGTTCTGTGGAGGGATCGATATCAGAACAGGTAATTTGTCTCTAGTCTTTCCAGATCTCATTGTTTATTAGTGCACTTTACCCTATAGTTAGTTGAAGAGTTTGACAAGAAATTTTTCGAGTTGCCAGAGTTAATTTATCGGCGTTTGGGCAGCTTTGTGGCCAATTCGTCTTTATCTGTTTTGTTTTAGTACATGTTGTTTTTCTCTCTTGTAATTACACGGATAGTGATCTTCTACTAATGCAGGGACAGATAAATAGAGATGTCTATAATGATTAGTATGTTGAGGCAATTGGGGGAAAGTTCAAGATTGGTCCAACTTTTACTGCACATTGACTTTTCTACTTTGCCAGTTTTGTTCCGAAGGCCTTGTTTTTCTAATATTCCTTTCTGAAACTTGTACATTTTGTTAATATTTCAGCAGCAGAGATCACTTTCAGAAATAATTATAATTCATAAGCTCGGAGATATCTGATAACCACAGGCAAAGGATTTATCAGATATAAAGTCCTGAATTATTCCTTAGCTTTGGCGAAATTGAATTCTTCATTTCGCTCCCGAATCTCATCTCCTTTCTTTGTCTTAAGCTCTAAGCCTATGCTTTTCCAGCGAATGAAGTATTGGAAACTGTTATTACATTAAAGTTAACGAAAGTTTGCTCTTTTATAACAGTTGTATTGAAGTATGTGCCCGGTTTGAAATTACATTGTGTATACTCTGTAGCGAAATAGTTGAACTGATTTGTATAAGCGTCGATGCAAATTTGATTTTGAGCCTCCAATTAATTCCTACAATTTATTAGAGGAAATTGCTTAAAGGAGCCGCCGCGCCGCGTAAATACAGGGAATTTAATAGCCAACATATTAATTTGACAGCAAATTTGTATCTTACAAGCAATGAGGAAGTAGCACGCTTTCAATCAATTCAATTATTATTAAAACAACTTTTCTCATTTTACTGTGGCTAAGACGGAACACGAAATGATTCCATTTCTCACGAGTGAGATTATTCACATATTCCATACAGTTTTCATTTTATGCTTTGTTTGCGTTTGGTGTTGTTCTGTACGAAATAGAAGACGTACTCGTAACAACGTAATAACAGCTAAAAGATATTTTCCTCGGTGAACAATTCATTGTTTTTGATATGAAAGTGGTTGAGACAAATTCATCCAAGCAGTTTGTTTAAGCATGAAAAATACTCTTTACATTGTATTATGGCAAATTATTATTAGTATCATTAATATTGTTTGTTTTTCTCCGCACGGCTCTTCTTAAAAAAGAGCTTGAAGTGGGTATATATTTTTATAATAAATCGTTGCCGGCCGTCGTAAGAACCCCAAGAACATAAAAGACCTGCCCTCATAAAAGGTACAAAGGAGCATTAAGACGATCGTATATTATCAAACGTAAGATGAAAAACTTCCGTTAAAAATTCATAAAAATTCAAAACGAGTGTTTTTATGCGTTCTAATAACAATTTTATGTCCAGAATAAATCAATGTTATCAAGTTTTATTTATTCATCGAAGAATGAATTTAAAGCAGTTTAAATATGGTATCACCAGCGAAGTTTCCTCACCTTTTTATCCCGTCTCGCATAATCTTGTAAATCCGACACGGAGCTGAAGTTTATTTTAAGGGAATAATTCAACAATAAACTCCATCTTCAATTTTCTTTAGCCTTTCCAGACAGTGTCATTTGATTTAGGAAACTGTATTAGACGGTTTCTTCTTCTCAACACTTCAATGGGAAAGCGGTCGTTAATGTGTTTCCATTTTTCGCGAAGTTCACGGTCGCTTGCTCGCTTTCAATGTGCAAACGTAAACATTTATTCTATGCCTTATTAATTTTATTCGTATCTCTGGAAGTGAGGAAACTTTAAACTAAGCCCTCATAAATATTAATTTAATTAAAATAATGAATCAGTCTCACCACCTTGCAGTTTTTGTGCCCGAGTTTTCTAAAACTACGGCGAAAATTAATGAAGGCACCTGTACACGGGGAGCAGTAATTGAGTTCACTCTTTAATTCGATTAAATTTAATTAAAGTTTCCATTTAATGCAACCCCAGGCTGTTCTTATTTACCCATAGGTTGGGGAAGATTTTTTGATTACTCTCATGAATTCGATAAAGATAATTGAGGAGTTTTTCTAATTTTAACGTTTGTTTCAGGTGGAATGGCACGAGCTGGCATGGCGTTGAGGAGAGGAACGAGCCATGGAAATCCTGAGTAAGTTGTCCCAGATAAAGCTTTCCTTTTCTGCTAGAACATTTTGACACAATATTTTGCATTCAAAGTCAAATTTTCTTGATATTAGTAAACTGTAAAATTGGTTGAGAAATTATTGACATGAAATTGTCAGTTTTTTCTGTACCCTTATGTGGCAGTTTTCAAAAATGTGTTGTCTAAAATTATTCTAACTATAAAAACTGTTTTCTCCCTAGTAATGGCAACAAAATGCCATAAAAGATGTGATAGGTACAAAGGTATGTAATTGTAGAAGCCTTATCGTCTTCATTTTAAAAATTGCATTGCCGCTTTTTTGAGGGAACCTTATACTATTTTGATAAACTTCGGAAGTTTCTCTCTAAAACTTCTTAATATACAAAAGCAAAATATTCGATTTTGATGTACTCTTAATATTATACATATACTTTATGGAAACATATTTTTAATACTTAATATGAAAAAAAATAAATAAAAACTATAATACAGGCAAAGAGCTATTCACGTTAGAATTTGCTCAAAATACCGGTTTTTACGTATTTTTTCCATATGAGATAAAAATATTTTACAATAAATGACGTATGGTTAGCTAATTTAACCAAATGATTTTCTACGCAAAGTGCCCCTATACAGAGGCCTTAAATATTTTTTAACTCGGCTACCGCCTCGTTACGACAAGATCGCTCTCGTCTTAATAAGAATAATAAGCAAATAGTTTTACTACATTTCCGCGGCAACTTTTTTAACTTATTTGGCTTGGTGAAAGTTTGACTAATCCCTACATTGTAGAATAATCTTTTATGAAATTTGTCGAAGCATGCGATTCGTCTTATTTTGAAGAAAAAAAAGAAGACAAATAAACGCAGAATTAAATTTAATTTAACAAAATAACAGAAACAGAGCCACAATTTGAGAGACGTCTGTAAGAGTTATTGAATTGTTTTCGCGTGAACACGTTTATGAATTACCAAAGTTATAAACAAATGATGAAAAACACAGCTTCTTTCATTTTTTTTTTTTTTTGTTTAGGAAAATACTGTTCTTGGTATGTTTATGTTATTTTGTTAAATTAAATTTAATTCTGTGTTTATTTGTCTTCCTTTTTTTGCTAATTTGTACATCATGTGTCAATGGTGAATGGTTCTTTAATAAAATAACGATCACTAGTTAAATTAATAATTTTTAAAGTGGTTTTGCGAAATTTTTCAGAGTGGCTGGGTTTTTTTGCCGGTCAGTGTATATACACGTACATATAGTGAACCAAGAGCTATAAGGTTATAGGGCCATCATAAAAGTAGTTGACCGCAAATAAATACCCCCTTTGTGTGGTTCGCACTAAGCTTACCGGTTGGCAATAAATCATCTTCTAAACATTTCTTGCTCATATTTAAGAGGGCCGGCTTTCAAAGGGAGTGGTTATTTCGGAACCCTCAGCGGCTGCAGGTAGTAAAGAAATAGTGGAGTGTTGGATTTTCATATTTAGTGAAAGCCCCCCCTGAACGAAACCACAAGAACCGGTCGAGCTGCAGTGGACACGTTATTTACGACCCTAAAACCTTTTCTATTGTAAACAACTTAACTTCGACACAATGGGATGATTTTATGATGGCCATATAACCTTATAACTTTTGGTTCACTATACATATGTGGATGCTGTGTGTGAACTGTCTACAAAAAGAACGTGTGTTCAAACATCCAAAGTATACAAATTATTGAAAAAAATAAATAAAGGCAACGAAGCCTTCCCCGATGTCTGTAAGAAAAAAGTCAAGGACCAGTGTTGTACGGTTATTTGAGGAATATACTCTAAAATTATTTTTAAGTATGCAGAGTGTTCTGTTTTTAACGTGTAACGCACAACTTGAGAAGAAAATTGGAATAACGTGGCAACGTGGCAGCGAAATTTCAAAAATAAACTTGGTTGTATATAAAAAGCTTAAGAAGAGGTCAATCAAAATATGTAAAAATATATATATTGGCTTTCATAAAAAAAAACAACAAATTATGTGTTACGCCTTACAAAAACGCAACACTCTGTATCGTTAAAAGTAATTTCAGAGTATAGTCCTCAAAGAACTGTACAACTTTGGTGTTAGACCATTTTTTCTGTTTCTAGTGAATCACCTTGATTAAGTTGTATTGCTAAATGGCTACTTTCATGTTTTTTCGACGTTTCATGACTCCCGAATTACGGAAAATAGGTTTTCCATTTCCGTCTGTCGTCTGCTGTCGCCTGCCATCTGTGTCGATTTTTATTAGACAGATAACCTTCGGACTAATTGTTATCAAATTTTAAATGTACTGTGGGAATACCGTGTAGATGCTATATAACCAAAGTTTATTTGATCATCTCCAGTTCTCCACGTACTCCTGTACTTGTGGTTTATGCATCCGCTTTGATACTGTTTATTGTTATTGTAATTTTTTTTATGTAGTTACTGATTCTTGTTCTTAAGACCGGGTGGAGTTGTGATAAGTGTATTCGTTTTGCAACTGAAGAACGCCGGGTTCGATCTCGATCCGCCATTTCTGATAGTTATTTTTTATTTCTCAGATTAAGAAAGATTCACCATATTGTCTGGAAAATTTGAAAATACAGTAATGTCGCGCCTGCTTATATTTATTAATAATTATTAATTATATAATAAGATAATTATTGTCATAATAGCCTGCAATTATTTACTTAAAATAATATTCAAAACATTTTGGTACATTAATAATCAGCTCTCTCGTTTTTTTTTTTGGCGAGATACAATGAATCAAATTTCATTTTCTTTTAACAGAAATGCATAATTTTTTATGATATTTTGAAATCACGATAACAACTTTAATAACTCGAACAAAATAATAACTAACGATATACCTGAATTTAAAATACTTTAATTGATCGACCACTACTGCCTCCCCATACATGTTTCGTTGTTCCAGCAATTAAAATATTTTCAGCTCAACTGTTGCTAATTAATTATTTATTATGATGGAGTTTAAACAGTATTGACTTTATCAGTTCAAATGCGAATAATCCTGACCAACAATTACCCACTTTTTATAAAAGTGTAAAATGAGCTTTGCCAATTGCGATATCAAGTTGGCTACAGGGTTTTTTCGTTCAATTTAAAATGTTTACAAATTTAACCAATCAATAGGGGTAATTCTGATCAAACCTGCTAAAATTTACAGGTTGTTAAAAAACAAACACACAACCAAATTTACAAATCTAAATCGTTGGAAATTTGCGATTTAACACCCTTTAAATTTAATAAGTTTTTACAGAACTGCTCCTATTGACACCAAAAATTACATTGAAGATGTCCAACTTTTACAATATCAATTCGCAAACATAACAGGGTTTTAACAGATCGAAACTCGTTAAACTTAAGGAAAAAGCTCAAAGATGGAACTTTCATGGTATCTGAACCACAATTAATGCATTAGAGCGTATTTTCCAAGGCAGATTCGTATATTATTGTAATTTTATCAGTATGGGTAATTCCGACACCATACCTCAAGTGGAGTTGTGGCGTACGTCAGCACCACGCCCTGGACCAACAAGTGTCCCTGAGACACGGAGGTACGAAAACAGATGCTCGAGCGCCACCTGGGGTTCTCTAAACCGGAAAAACGATTCTCCAGAGTCTCGTGAGCGGCCGCACAAGAAATAAATAATGCTCCAGTTACGATTTAAAAATACGTAGTCGGTCTTTATTTAGTTTTTTTATAATTAATATTTAAATGCAAATAAAATAAAATTGAGTTCTGCAGGTTTTGTTATTAGTCTATAGCAACCCCTATACATACTTACTATATAGTAAAAATACAAACATAAGGGTCAAACTTTAATTACATCGTGGACGAAGGAGCGTATCACAATATGAATGCCAAACGAGATTTACTTGGCAAAATTTGAAATCCAATTTTTGGTGGAAATGAATAGACAGACTTTGGGTATTCCAGTAAATTCAGGGATTGTCTGCCTAATAAAATCGTCCACAGACGACACACTGATAATCTGCATCAAAACTACAATTGGCCCATCATGGAACTGATGAACCTCCTTCTTCCTGGAATCTGCGAAGATTTATGGATACCACTTATTTTTGCACGCTTTAAATAAAACACAAACCAAGCCACAATTCACACTACCTTACTACTATGTGATGTTTTACCTAAATACTTCAACTGTCAGCTTTGCTGGCCAAAGTGATTTACACATACATTCAGCATACATGTGGTCTTTTCGAGTCCATTTTTAATACAATGCCCACAGCAGACAGCAGGTATACCCCATTTAACCCCATGCCCTCTAATTTATTGGCGAATTCGTGTTATTCAATAATACATGCTGGCGTAGATTCAATAAATTATTCGAATCAATTGCGTGCCAATTGTGGACACGTACCAATATATGACAAATATTTCATAAAGCGTGTGATAGATATCGGGGAAAGTTGATGAATATTGATCAAGTTAAAGAGCACAGCAAATATCGCTCACAGATTGCTTTTTAAAAGCTATTCGCACACCATTCGCACTCTAACGAACATTGGAGGAAACGTGGTTTGAGTTGCGATCTTAAATGTGTCGCATAACGTTTACGTCGTTTCGATATTTTCAATTAGTAGTCGTTGGCGCCTGATTTTCATGCGCGATTTTAAAAGAAGACATTACTGGAATTACACTCGCGAATTAGATTGCTCCTGATTAAACGTTCTTGTAGTTCTAAATGTGCAATTGTCACTTTGGAAATGTTTACTTCTGTTTGAGCTTATAGTATTACGACGTATTGTTTGAGTTAAAGTTTAGTGGCGCCTCGGTTCTACCTGTTGCATTTGGTAGTGCTATAAACAATAATTTGTGAAATGTATGATTTTGCATGCGATTTTATACAGTGTTTATAAAGAAAGGTCTAAGCAGTTTTCAACCGTTTGTGATTTAGAAATCTTCACTAAAAAACAGTGGATAATGATGATTAATTATTTTGTCAAAGTCTAATTTTAGAGAAA